AAGGGCAACGTGATCATAAATCCTTGTACCACGCACATTTTACTGTACTTGTGATTTTCACTTCTTCCTACCTTGGAATCCCACCCTACAAAGTGGGTTTGAGCTTTGCACACCACTGTCCACCCTGTCCCTTCTCATCAGTCCACTTCTTCCTTCAGTCTATTCCCTCAGAATAGACTGCTCTTAAATCCTTAAAGAAATTCTTCCCCAAAGCAGATGAGAGAGGAGTTCTACCTGCGCTGGGGAAGGAGGGGGTGTTCCCCACTGTGAACACCCTAGCCGAAAACCAAGGACAGCTGGATTCAAACCAGCATTCCCACCCAGGACACTGGGAAAAGATGAAAGCAGAAGAATGTGATTCTTACAAGCTTCACACCTAACTTCTACTGAGCTTACCTTTATGACTAACTGCCTTTGCAGTTGCGGGAGCATTGGTGATATGGAAGTCATGGGAATCCAAGGCAATGGGTGCATGTGGGAGGGGCTCTGGCACTACTGGCTTACCAGTGAGTGTGTGGGTCCCCGGCCCTGCTAACAAGCTGGCTAAATTCAAAGCCTCAAGCACCTCACCTGGGGTGTTATCCAACAGGCACTGAAGAAGAGTCTCCCCTTTCTGTAAGACATTCTCCGCCAGGAACTGGTGTTCATCTAGATCTTTCTTAAATTGCTTAAAGCATATCAGAAAAAGAAAAAAGCTTAGTTACTATCACTTTACAAAGGTTATTCAAAATGATCTCTTGTAAGGTAGCTTGATTCCCCTCTAACCTGGAATATAAACCCTGTGATCTTCAGGATTTTCCAAGTAAACAGTGTAATAGTTTAACTTCACCTCTTTGGAGCCCAAAGTAAATACAGAATCTTTTTTTTCTGTTTACAGTTGGATAAAATAAGGTTTCTTTTCCTTGGTAGAACCTGGCTTATCAACAGTATGGAGTCAGGGCTTCTTTCTTATGCCAAACCTCACAGGGTAGGTTCTCTAAAGTCACAGGGCAATGGGATTCTTAACACAGTCTATGCTAATGGAACTGGCAAGTAAGAGTCGCAGGAGATGCTATTAACGTGACCATATGGACTGCTGCCTCACCCACGTCCTCCCTCAGTGTCCTGTTCTGTGTGGATGTTAGGCCTTGAGAAGGCATCAAGGAAGCTGTGTCTCCTCAGCAGCTCACCTGTTTTCCCCTTGCAGGTACCAAGCCTTGTAATTGTTTTTTATGTTCCTTTAGCTGCTAAGTGTAAAGTCAAATCCATAATCACTTTTAGTACAGGGTGCAGAACTTGGTTCACATTCTTAAGTTATAATTTCCCTCTTGGATTTACTATATTCCTGTCTTCAGTCCTAATACCTATGCTTATTATTTTATTCGTTAGTACTCTTGATAGTTTACATGTTGCCACAAACCCACTGTGTTATTAAGACAAAGTGTATGAGAGTCCAGTTAAAATATATGAATACATACCCACACTCACGCTTAGAGTAAGTATCTAAGCATGAATCAAGGTATCTCATACATATGCATGAGCCATACACCATTCTGTGTAGGGAAGGGGTTGACAGTGTGGTCCCAGTTGTGTGGGTGACACGAGGGCTAGGGTTCACTGGGCTAGGGTTCACTAACCTGCACGGATAACTTCCATCTCAGATCTCAGTTCTACCCATAAAGCAAGACAGTTGCTTCTGGTTAGCATGGAAGTTGAGGCACTGGATGGAATGAGGGACACAATAGAGGGAATGGAGTTGTTTTACTTGGCATCTGCTCTGATGGGGGTGGGGCTGAGCCACTCTGGAAAGGCTACCCAGGTAAGTCTAACAAGGGCAATTCCC